ACCAAACCATAGTGCGAGAAAGAAAGGGCAAAGTGGCCAAAACGTAATGTTTACAAGTTTGTTTTTCATGCACCAAACGGTATTATACATACAAGTCACACACAACGTACTTACCAGAGACCTCTTATATTACGGCTATAAACGTCCGAATGACAAGGTCGGTAGAATATCAGTACATCACTGTTTATACTTCCTTACCTACACGACCTACACCACTAGCTGGGCTGACCGAACTGCGCAGGCGAGACGGGCCGCCGCCGCGCCGAGCCGTGCTGCGCGCTGGCTGCTCGAGGCTCGAGCGAGTCCCGCTGTCGCGTCGCCATGGCGACCCGCCTCGACAGCACCTAATAGTTTTACTTGCCACGGCCAAAGCGGTGGATTGCGGCAGCCGATCAAAGTCGGAATGAAATGCTGAATGTTCAAGCTTTGTTCTCATATGCGAATCACTGCGGCAATCCGCAGCAATCGCACGGAAAAAAAGAGCTAAAAAAGTGACAGGCCAAAGTGTCTTAAAAGTGTAAAAAAAGTATACAAAAAGTATGAAAAAAGTTTGCCTAAAGTGCCACCAAAGTGGTGCGGTTCCAATCTGCTATATTTTAAGTATACCTTATGTAAACTTTTCACAAAAGTATACCCGAAAGTGTCATTTGGATATACTTATTTCCATGCGGCGAACATCACGTGATGTCCCCATTGATATAGGTGAGTGAGTTACTTTACAACTGCACCTCAAATGTGGCTAGGTTATGTGGTCCGGCGCGCTCATTCCGTTGCGCGCGGCAATGAGGTTTTCAATAATGCATAGAAATCGCGTAAAATTCCAAACGAACTAGTTTTAGACGGTTTGAACCTTTAGGAATCAGGGCCTGTAGTTAAATTTGCGGAATGTTTAAAAATAAATTTGAATTATGTCCATCTTTTTGAGATCCGTCCCACTGTGCGGCTGGTGGCGCTGGTCCTGGTGGCGCATGACTGTCCCGCCGACTGCTTGCTGCTGGACGGCGTTGCACCAGCCTAGAGAGGGGGGGGGGGGGCGAAAACACAATAAATACAAATAATGCTGCGGACTGTATTTTAATCATGGCGAACATTAACTTACCAAACCCGAAGACTGACGGCCTTCAGAAAGTTGTGTGTTGCTCGACGACGGTCCAGGGCTGCTGGTGGGCGACGGTGGAGGGCGACCCTGGCGAGACAGACAACAAAAAGTTGAATACACGAAAAAAAAACTGCCCACTGCCCTCTACCCCTTTCTCCTTGTAATGAAACAACACTAATAAAGGAAGCGATTCGACCGGTTTCAACTCACTTTTTCAGGAATGAGCTTGCGAAGGAGAACTTTCTCTCCCGTGAATGTAGTCAGAGAGCCTAGGTCACCATCCTGTTGCTCCAGCAATCCAATAAGACTAAACTTTTGGTCTGAAAATAAAAACGCAATCAACACGAATGTTTACTAGCGGAGCCACATATGCAGGAGACACGTTAAATTCGAGAAACAATTGCACACAATCACTCACCTCGGCATATGGGAGTCAAGCGTTGAAGATTGTACGCCCGTAGAACCTCCTCCAACTCTTCGTCCCCTTCATCTAAACCGTGAAACATGACGAACAATAGGCCGGCGCGGCTGCACGTTGTTGACACGGCACCGGTCTCGGTCAGAGTGACGCCTCCGAGCGCCCCCACTCCTCTCGGCGCGCACCAGCGCGCGCTTGCCGTTTCCCCGCAGCCTCGCCCACGCAGACACCAAAAGAACGACAATTAAACAGCGTATCTTTTATTCAATTCTAGGTACCAGTCCACGCTTGCCGGAGAGCCGTTCATTATATCTACGACTCTTTCGAAGAAGGTGACGTGGACGAAGAATACAGAGTCATAGTGTTCAGCACCCGAAGAAATCTAGAGCTTTTATTCAAATGTCTGATTTAGTTTCTGGACGGTACATTCAAAACCGCTCCTCACATCTTTCTCCAAATTTTCGCCATCTTGGGGCTGGTGGTGCACTCGGGGACCGATGCAGAGGACCCCGACACAACTTGTGTATGCATTGTTGGCGTCCAAGACCGAGGTGAACTATACCCTAGTGCTGCAGAAGGCGAAGGAAGCTGCAGCGAGGTTCCACATCCGTGCCGCTGCAGCGCCAACGAAGATCATGACGGACTTCGAAGTGGGGATCATCAATGCGGCCCGCGCGATGTTCCCCGGGGCCATCATTCGCTTGTGTTTCTTCCTCCTGGGGCAGTCCTGCCACCAGGAGGTACAGAATTTGGGGCTCCAGGAGCAGTACAACGACGCAGATGACCGCTCCCTCAAGAACGCAGTCCACTCCCTGCTGGCCCTCGACTTCGTGCCGGTTGACCAACTGCTGGACGCCTTCGACTAGCTGGAGCGGGTGGTGCCCCAAGCGGCCGGTCAGGTGTTTCGCTACTTCGAGGAGACATACATCCGTGGTCCACGAGGCCGCGGTAGGAGGAGGGCAGCGAGGACGCCGCGGTACGCAGTGGAGCCGTGGAACACCTACGACGCCACACTGGCGGACGAACACCGGACCAACAATATCAGCAAGGGCTGGCACAACAGGTTTCAGGGGAGGGAGATGGGCGGGAGGTGCTACAAGGGTGGAAGGGAGGGGTACTACATGTACAAAAAATTTTCAACAGCTCGTCATAGAAAAGAAACACCCGTCTCTCTACTCCTTCCTCCACGAGATAAAGAAGGAGCGGGGCGACACCGGGCCGTGCTGGCCGAGGGGGCCTCAACCCTCTTGTAGGATGTACACCAGATTGCCAAGATTGCCAGATTGCTTGACGAATATTTAGCTTTAAGGGCATAAACCACCTGTAACTAGGCAAAACGCACTAATTTCACCCTAAATGTAGGCAAAAGGGATGGCCTTTGCAGTCGATTACCAAGAGACTGCCGAAGATTATCAGAGATTGCCGGGGTGGATGTACACCGGATTGCCGGAGTTGAGGCCCCCTCGGTGCTGGCAGAGATGCGGCTGCGCAGAAAAATCAAGAACGCGCCGAAGAAGAAATGGAGGGACCTTCAAAAGCGCATCAGGGGCATCGTCGCAGACCTGCACACCAACGAGGACGTGACTGTCTACCTCCGGACACTCGGTCACCACTTCCAGCTTTAGAAAATTGGAAAAGACAAATGAAAATACAATTTGGGACTCATTGTCATTGGGAAAATAAATTTAGGAAACTGAGAAATTGGGAAATGCGATTTTGGAAAAATATTATATGAAACTAAAAATTTGGGGAAAAAAACCTATTGGAAAAAGAGGATTGGGAAAAATGACCGGGAACCCGCTTTGCCTGCGCACCTCGGTTTGTTAGGATCGGGTTGCTTCGTGACGCGCCGCTGGAGTCGGGGGGCCGTGGGAGCGCTGAAAGGTCTACATGCTTATACAACCCCGAAGCAAAGTGTAAAAGTGTAATGTGCATTTTCTTTTAACTTTCTGTGTAAATGAAGCCGGCTCAACTGCTCCACACGCGAATTGCATATTCAACCGATATGTGTGTGATTATCAGAATTGAAGAATTCCAAGGGAGAGTTCGAATCTACTCTTTTAATAGTCAATGTCACAAGGCAAACAAAAACCACAATGACTTACATCATTACATGTTAACAACAAGCTAGGGTCAAGAAAAAGAAAAGAAACAAAAAATGTAACTGAGTTTTAACAAGACTAGAGTCAAGAACTGAAATCAAGAATAAATTAAAATTATTGTGTACAATCTATCCTTCGCCTTCGGACACAGGGGTGACATCGTCAATTCGCTCCGAAGACTGGTGTATCGACTTGCCTCTGGACGAAGGAGGCATGAAGGAGGCTTCTTGTTTGACATAGAGGTGGTGACGGTTGCTGTTACATGTATTATTACTTTGCCAACAAGAGCCTTCACTACACTTTTCTTGGTCTGCAGGAATGCCACATCATTGATGAGCGTCGCCGAAAGTCCAGGTCTCTGAGGACGGAGTATGAACCGAAGTGCCAAGCAAAGACGCTCTCCCGACACCTGCGTAGCTGGTATGCTCAGGACGATCACCATGGCCAGCTTAAAATGCTCCGGTGAAGGAGGGGATTGATACCCCTGTGGCCCCGCTGTAAAACCCTGGAGAAATTAGTACCCCCCGGTATATATCCTCTGGTAAATTTACCCCCCCCCCCCCCGACGCAAAATTTCCTGTACGCAACTGGATTGCTTCCAGTTTATCGTGACAAACCTAAAGCGTACTAGTTGCGACCCTCTCAAGCGGTTCGCGAGTGATTCGCCCAAGTTCACAAAAGGTGCGCGGATTGCGGATGTGTCATTTCGCGTGCTTTGACGAACCCAGAGCGAACATAGTTCGTTTTCCTGTAGTACGCTGCCAGTGCGCTGGGTGTTCGCTTGCAGTACGCCAAATGTTCGTTTTCAGTACGCACTAGATGCACATTTGATGTAGGAATCTAGGGGTGGTTTACAGGGGGTGGGGGGCAATATGCAGCCTTCACTTATCGCTCGGCCAATAACACAGTCGAAACCTGTAGTCCAGAACCTTAAAAGTCACCCCACAGTTTCACTTCAATTCCTACCCATGAAATGTGTGCTTATGAAGGTGTCTAAGCATTCTGCTAAAAGCTAAAATGCAGAAGAATGCAAGGAAGAAGAAAACGGAAATCACTTTGCTTTTACATGGAACTTTTGTTTTCTTGTTCCCTGCATTCTTCTGCATTTCAGCTTGACCGGACTGCTTTATTCAGTTTTAAGTGTCTTGCAACTTGGTTGTACTCAAGGTTTTTCCAGTGTGGGCTTCGGTTTCACTCAAGCCTATCATCTGATTTCATAAGCGGAATATTTTCCTTACTCCTCGCGTAGACCTTGGTTTAACGTTGTTTTTATCTGTCACCGGGAGTAGAGCATGCAAATGGCTTGCATTAGCAAGGCAATACGGCAATGTAAATGATTTGCTGCGTATGGGGCCATCCAGTGTTCTGCTCAGCTTCGCAGCATGCTCACCCGGGCTTGCAGACATGGCCGTCAAGGAATTGTTACGTTAGTACTAAACTAATTTTCACGAAACTAATTGAAACTATCAGAAAAGCCGTAAATACTCGTTCAGAGGCATCTTTCAATCATCTGCTTTGTGCTCTTTCTGACCCAATTTTAGTTTCTTTTAACTCTTTTGGAGGTCCTTCCCCATGGGCCAGCAAGAATGTTGACTGATTTCGACCGTGCTACCTAACAAATATCAGCTATAATAACAGCCAGCATGTAGCCGAAAACGTTTACTTAAACTACGTCACGCACATGTACACATTTAAAGTCTAAACATATATAAATATTGATTTTTTCAAATTGTGCCAAATTTATCTTTAATTGCAAATTCAGATTTTAACTAATTGTACATATGTATAAATAGACATGCGATAAACATTGCTACTTTTGTGCAACTTTAATGCCACGTACGTATACGACGTGACATAACCCTGCATCGCTCAGCCCTTGCAGGCATGGTAGGCGTACCAATGTCACGTTCTCATGAATGTGACATGATACTCTAAACAATGCGCCACAATTCACCTTATACAGAATGTGACGTCACAGTATTAGAAAAACATTGTAGAGGGCCTGATTTCTGCAGCTTTTCACTAAGCTCCTGTCCGTCCACAAGTGACATCGAGTTGGCTGTTATTTTGGCTATGCGAACTTTTGAAGTGCAGAGGGCAATACTTTGATATGTGCCACTGAAAGAGCGCCAATGTAGGCTAACAAAGGAAGGTTCTCCGGTGATACAGTCAGATTCCATTGGCGATTTAAAGTGTTGTGTAAATCCCTAGGTAAGGTTTTGCATTAGACGCGAATTTAATTGAAAATTCACAAAATTTACAGGCGCCTTATGTTCTTTACATGCACATATCTCAAGAACCGTTTGAGCTACAGCACCCAGATTTTCAGACAAATCATAAATCGGCACGTTCCTTTTTTTTAATAGAAAATTTGAACGAAATCGACAATGGTCGCAAAAACGGGTCTCGAGGGGAGGTTACGACTCCGGACTCTTTGAGGTGACCCCCACTGATTTTGTTCAAATATTTTTCATGAAAAGTGCTCACTAGAAGATAACTTTCTGCAAAATCTGGACGCTGTGGCACAAACGGTTCCGGACAAATGTGCATGCAAGGATGGCAATAAAGCTATAAATTTAGGGAATTTTTGATCAATTTCGCGTAAAATGACTCTCAAACTTTCTACGGGCAGCTAAAAACAGTGCCAATCCTTATCTAGGGGTGCAAACTACTACAATTTAAAGCGCTATTAAAATCTGACTGTATCACCGGGAAACCTTCCCTTGTAAGTCTTTACTTAAGTCGTTTTGTTCCTTTTCTTTCTAAGGTTGGTTGAAAGCGCATTGCAACTACAATACAACCAAGACGTCAAAGATCTTAATGACTACTTCCCTGTAGTTGTCGAGGAGCTCCTACACAAGACAACTGTTTCCAATGCTTCAAACAATTCAAGCAAAGTAAGATCAATAATTACCAAAAATGCCCTTCAATAAAACAGAGTGGCCATAGCTGTGCTTTACTTTGCCACGCGGCTTTGGAGGTGAAAATATCGAACGCAAGTTGGGGCCGAGAGGGAACCGACTTAGGCAAGACCTGTGTCAAACAAGGTAATCCGAGATATTCCGGGGCTAGTACGAAGGTTTAGATTCTTACATTCAAAGAGTCCTAAGCAGCCAGATTACGAGTTTTCTTCATATCACGAACAGTTCCGTTTAGAGAAGCTACGGCTTGTAATGCAAACGGGTGTCTTTGAAATACAAAGAATTTGCTTGGACAACGACGAGGGCTTTAAATCATTTGTATGTTACAAAGAGCATTATTTTCTAAGAAAGTTGCGTCTTGGCCGGCTGGACCGAGGGGGCCTCAACTCTCTTGTAGGATGTACACCAGATTGCCAAGATTGCCAGATTGCTTGACGAATATTTAGCTTTAAGGGCATAAACCGCCTGTAACTAGGCAAAACGCACTAATGTCACCCTGAATGTAGGCGAAAAGTATGGCCTTTGCAGTCGATTACCAAGAGATTGCCGAAGATTATCAGAGATTGCCGGGGTGTGTGTACACCAGAGTTGAGGCCCCCTCGGGCTGGACTAGGTAAAGGACGCAATGCGCACACCTAGAAAAATGGAAATCTGTAACAACCATCGGATGGTAAGCTAAGGGACAACTATACAAAATATGGTTGAGCCGACAGTCTTATGGTTCCACCAACATTGTCAATAGTTAGGCTGGCTGGTTTCGGCGCAGCCATAGGATTGTTGTTGCTACAACCATATTTTTAGGCCACCGTTTTGCTTCTAAAAAGGCATTAAAGTGGGCTTATGCAACCGCTCTCGTGTCCGTCCGTCTGTCCGTCCGTCCGTCGTTCGTGTAAGAGGAAGGAGATGAGCTAGAGGTCTAAAAATGTTAGGGTATCTTAGGGGTCACCTACTGCACAACGAAATGTCTGGTGCAAATCCCGGCAACCATACCTAAGGGGGTGAAAGGGGGTAACAAAGAAATAGGGGTTGGTCCAAAAAAGAAGGAAAAAAAATAAGTAACTCGTGAAAGTAGAGCTCCTTGGGCGAAAATTTTGTCCGTTCGACTCTATCTTGCACCGTTGGGCGCTAGAGTGCTTTTTTCGACGAAAACACGGCGAAAATGACCACGTCGCACAGAAAGACGTAACAGGAGGCGTCCAATCGTAAAATGGAAGAGGAAAATATAAATAAAAAATATAAAAAAACAAAAAAAAACACATTCTGCACCAGGAACTACCCTCGGATTTGCTGTATCTTTCATTGTTTCGGCCCTAGAGGTGGATATATTGAAAACAAGGGGGGAAAGTAAAGTTTTAAGACTGTTTGACAAACAATACAATCTAAAAACTGCACTGGTTAATTTTTTTGCATTTTTCTGAAGCAAAGCAGAATGGTGGGGTGTAGTCACGGTGTTGCCCCGTTTCAGTCTTTTGTCATGTGAAAGGAACAAATCTCTAGGGCCGCAGGGCCCCCGCCGGAAGTTAGTTTACCCAAATATGCAAAGTGATTTACCGGTCACATTATTCGGTTATGTTCTTCAGTAAATCGCGAGACTGAAATGGTCGGGCGGCAGGCGCGACCATCGCCGCCGGCAGGCCAAGCAGGCCCAGCCCCTGCCGAACCTAGTTGCCGGCGCAGCGAAAGTGGAGCTGGCAACTGCGTTTGGCGGAAGGGCGGGCCTGCTTGTTATGGTTGTCCCTGGCTTACCATACGATGGTTGCTACCCATTGTTCTGGGTGCAGCAGGTGTTGTTCTTCTCTTTTCCAGCTCCTGCAATATTCGTTCGGTGGTAAACTGCTTCGCGCGACTGCTTCCTTCAACGTTATGCGAGAGCTAACTGGATTTACAACGGATGAAGAAATGCGTGTGTCGAAGGCCCTTGCTTGGAGTATAGAACTGGTAGGTCATTTGTTAACTAAGCGATTACTTAGCTGCACTGACAAAAATGTTCGAAATTTCATTACGCAGTAAACATTAATTTTAATAACTCATGAAATTTAATGACACTCTTAAATTAAAAACGATGTTATTAAATTAACGGGAATTTCATTACACGCCATTGAAATTTCATTACACGCCCATTTTTAGTGCATGTTAGATTTTCATCACATATGTTATGAAATGTTTATCACATGTTTATGAAACAGTTAGGGAACGCCCTCCCGCAAGCGGTGGCATGATATTACGTTCCAGCTCAGCCACTCGCATTGTTACAAAAATCGATTGTAATTTTACAGATATTTTTGTCATTGTTTTACGCAATTCAATGTTTGCATGTTTACCAGCTAAAGCAATTGTAAAAACGTTTGCAAACGTGATGAAAGTTCAGAATCTGCGGCCTCAAATTTAAGGTTAGGTGCGGGTGAATCTGTGAGCTACCATTTGCAGTATAGCTAAGAATTTGGAATTTTCCCGTTTTGATGGGCTGATGTAGAAGACTTTTCACACTAAATCTTATCCCAATCCGTCAAGCCGTTCCAGAGATATAGCCATTTTTCATTAATTTTAGGTTCTTTTTCTGAAAATCACTTGCGCAACAAATTTTGACACAAAGCTTTGCCCTCTGAAGTTTTTGTTTCCTTAACCCCTGTGCTAAAACCTAACAGAGAGATATTTGCATTGGCATCTGCATATTTCCACAAAAATAATTAATTAGAAAACTTAATTTCAAAATCTGAGTTTTCTACTGTTTTTTGACTGACTTCAGTCTTCAAAAAAAAAAAAACAAAAAAAAACTGGGTTAAAAATGAACAAAAACTCTCTGTTCCGTTGTAGGCAACACCTAGGACAACCATTTCCCTGAGTATTGAGGCCCTCACATCACAACTGTTGCGCAAGAGATTTTTTGAAAGTGGGAAAACTTCGTTCTGAGAAAATGGGCTGCAAAGTTGACGACACCATAGAGCCTGATATTCAAGTCTAAATTATAGGAGGAATTGGTTAGGGAAATTGGTTTCACAAGTAAAGTTCCACGAAATGCTATTCTTTGGCACATAACAGCCTTATATTTTGCATGCTGATTCAAATTTTTAGGAATTATATGAATTTTTTTCATATTGGAGTGTCTCAAAAAATAAAAGAATCCTGGAGAAGAGGTAAAAAATATTAAAACATAGTAAGAGGTTTAGTCTAAGTCCAAGAATTTAAAAAATCATGTTACATACCCTCAGTCACCTCCACCAGGAGCATAGTTGTCTTTTTTTCCAGTCTTTTTATTATTCTTGGCACGTTTCCTGGAAGATCTAGTTTTTTTAGTCTCTACTTCTGCTTGCTTATCACTTTGGGCCAATCTCTTCCTGTCCACTTCATCTGCATTTCTCTAAACAAAGGAAACACACACATAAACAATTTTGAAAATAGCACAACTATATATCTGATAATGTTATATAATAATTACCATTGACTGGGCACTTGCAGGGCGCTCAGTGAGGTTGGCCTCTATTGTCCCCATAGTACTTAGGTCCATGTTGTATTTGCCCACAGCTTGAGTGGCACCCAATTCTAATCTTCCCTTGGAAACAAAATTTATATTTGGTACATAAGACCATATTACATTATGCAGGGACTCGTTGGCATTCTGTGTGAGAAAATCTTTCCATCTAGTCACAAGTTCTGTTTCACTAAGTCTTTCATAGGTAGGCAGAATGGCTTTGAAAACTTTTTTGTTTCGAGTGGTCTCCAAAACAGAGTGGGAAGGTTTGGAGCGGGAAGTGGCTGCTTTAGCCTTCTGGAAGAAGCACAATAAATCCCTACCTTTGGGGCAATATTTATGCATTGGCTTTTCATCAGTAGATGCATAATGGTGAGGAGCTGCTAATATGGCATTTTGCATTTTTTTTTCACATCTGGTGCGTTCTCAATCATTGCCTTCTGGTAATATTTTTGAAGTGTGTCTACTTTGGCTTGGGTAAGGGCTCCTTCACCTTTGCCACCTAAAGTAACACCTAATTTTGAACTATTTGCAATAGTATTTCTAAGTGCTGTGCCAAGGCGTTTTCCCACGTGATTGATGCACTCTTCTTTTTCAACCAAAACATCGGGTCCATGAGGTTGGGCTTCGTTGATTGCTGAGAGACTTTTGGCATCACCATCAGATACATATTTTGTGTATCTCATATTACATTCTAGCTCTGATCTTTTCCATAAAATTACAGCTCCCTCTCGTTCCATGTTCCCTAAAAAAATGCATCAATGAAATATTATAGAGCAAGAAATAAAATGCACATGTAAATTATTTTACTTACCAGAAGCACCTGTGAGACTTTGACTGCATTCACCCAAATCTATGTGACTTTTATACCAAGTCTTGTACGCCTCTGTATCCTCACCGAGTCCAGCAATAGTTATTATAGCACATATGTGGCAATATTTAGACAACAATTCAAAGTCAATCACTAATTTGGTTAGGACATCAATATAACTGACACAAATCCATAAAGGGATGTGTGTCCCCTTTTGTGCCAAGAACCGTCGAATGAAACTTTCACATCAATTATTTCTTCCCCAACAAGAGACGGATCGTTCTCTTCATAGGCTTTGCGCACTGCTTCTCTTGAAAGTCTCAAAATTTCCTTCTTGAGTAAAATGTTTTCCTCACATAATTTTTTGAGGGCAAGGTGGCATTTATTTACATGTATGTGGCTCTATACATGGGTGAGGTACAACGATGCTCTAATACGTCGCTTTATATATAGCACGTTTATTGTATGTACATTATATTAGATTTTATAAAAACGTATACATGCCTCTGTATATAATTGTATAAAGTTTTACCAAATGTTATACACATTTGTAAAACACCCTGTTTATCGTTATATTACGGTGTACACAATCATATCCAATTTTATAAAAGTCTATAAATTGTAATAAAATTTCTGAGTTGCATACAAACCGTTTCACCCGGTGTAACAATGGAAGTGGCTTAGCTGAAACGTAATTTTATGCCACCGCTGGTAGGAGGGCGTTCCCCAACTGTTTCATAAACATGTGATAACTTTACAAACATTGAATTGCGTAAAAATTTGCCAAAAATATTTGTTAAAGAACAATTCATATCCTAAACACTGAATGAAATTGTAATGAAACTTACTAGAAATTTTGTACAAATGTAATGATTTTATTTTAAACAGGTAGTTTATCCACTGGTGTTTAAAATTCCCCTTTGTTTGTTTGTCAATCTATTTAAATTCTGGCTCTTATTAGAAACTATGGACGGCTGATCCACATACACACTGTAAAAAATCAGGGGAAATTTTGTGCATCCAATGAAAACGATACTGACCAGAGGTGCACATATCGTTGATATTATCTTTTGTAGGTGTTACTATTAAAACATGACTTGTGGGTTGTTTTCAGAGCCATGCTGCATTGTTGATGTTAGACGACATTGCAGACGATGCGATAACTCGACGAGGTTTGCCTTGTTGGCACGTCCAAGTTGGCCTTCGGGCGGTTCTCGATGCGCTCTTCTTGCAGCACTGTGCCGTGAGCATAATCGAAACTCACTTCAAAGGCGAACCTTACCTGGATATGCTGAAACTGTTTCAAAATGTAAGTGGAGCTTTAACATATTAGGAGCACGGTGCATCCACAGAATAACACGGTTGGTAGTGGCAACTTTAGTGCACCCTCGCAGAGCCGCGCTCCTGTTCTCCTCCCCGCTGTGCATACTGTAAAAATAAGTAGGAATTTTCCAACAAACGTCTGTCCGAGGTATTCGGAACCATGTCATTCCAACACATTGTTTGAAAAAAAAAAAAATTCCAGTCCTCTGTTTGAAAATTTCCGAACACTGGTAAAACAAAGGCGTTAAAGAACGCCTTTAAAAGGCGCTATTAAAGTTTGCCGCCTTAGAAAAGGCACTAAGGTTTAACGCCTCAGGAAAGGCGCTAAATTATTGGTGGAGTTCAGAGGTTAGCGCCTTTGATAATTCTCGCTCCATATAATTTATTATTTTAAAAATTGAATCCGTATTTATGTTT